CTCAGAGCACAGCACACACCACGGGGCAGTGAGAGCCCCTCACACCTGTGTTTCGAGGGAAGGAAATGGGGCAGAAAACAGAGGAAAACTGAGAGCCCCTCACCCTCACACCCGTGTTTCAAGGGAAGGAAATGGGGCAGAAAACAGAGGAAAAGGGAAACTCCTCCACGTGAGCACGGCTGGATTTGCTGCAGAGGAAGGGAGAAGGCCATGAGGAGGTCCCAGCAGGCAGGATTCAGTTTTCTTGTCCCTACACTGACAGCTGCCTCCCTCCTTTCTCCAGGACAAACTCAGCACTGTCACTGTCAGCTTGGGAATCTCAGTCTTGCTGGAGGTGAGGATGGATGAAACTACCCAGGGCACCAACAAAACCATAGCAATGGAGGCTTGACACATGAAGCAGCACTGAGAACTAACGAATAACCCCAGTATGGCATCTCTTCAGGAACAAATGGCATTTTCCTTCCAGTAACTTGACAGAAGTGAGGATGCTCAGCTGCTCCCTGCACTAGGAAACATGGGAAGGGATTTTAACAAGTCTTCAGTGCCTCCCTGCTCCGCTGACAGCAGCAGGCACTGAAGAATGTTAATGGAGCATCTTTACAAAGCCAATGATGAGCTCTCTTGGCAAAAATCCCCAGAATAAAGGTTCTGATGTCTGTTTTCCTGGTATTTTGAATGGAGTGGAGAAGCATTTGCTTAGTTATTGACTCTGAAGTTTCCAAAAATCAAAGGGTGGTAACAGACTGGAGCTTCTGTGTAGTATAAAGGCAAAGATAAGCCAAGCATAATGTGTGCTGAGAACAAACAGCAAACCATGAGCTCCCCATACACATGGAGTAACTACAGAGTACTGAAGCAAGAGGACCACGAGGCCTGGCAACAGGCTGTCAGCCCTTATGAAGCCTATTCTAACTACAGGCAGACACAGACTGTTCACATTATTCAAGCAGGGATGTTTTCAGTGGAAAATCAGCATTTTTTCCCCCCCTCCTTGCCTCTATCCCTCCAACCTATCAAGATCACTGCTGTTCTATTTTTCATGCAGTTTTCTGCTGTGCTATACTTGTGCTTGCACCTGAAATACACAATCCTCTGCTGGTATCTGGGTCAGCCACACTGAGGAGGGGAATCCCATCATTGTCTCTGTTGTTTCTGAAATGAATGACTGTACAGTCAGCTCAGGTGGGGATTCAAAGGCTGACATTTCCACAAGAGGCTGCCACACGTGTGCCAAAGCTCCAGGAGCCTTTCATCCCAGGCAGCACAGAGCAGGGGTGACATCCCCAGGAGGCTTGGGAGCACAGAGCAGGGGTGACATCCCCACGATCTCTGAGAGCACAGAGCAGGGGTGACGTCCCCCTGGATGTTTGGGAGCCCAGAGCAGGGGTGACATCCCCAGGATATCTGAGAGCACAGAGCAGGGGTGCCATTCCCCAGGATATCTGAGAGCACAGAGCAGGGGTGCCATTCCCCAGGATATCTGAGAGCACAGAGCAGGGGTGCCATTCCCCAGGATATCTGAGAGCACAGAGCAGGGGTGCCATTCCCCAGGATATCTGAGAGCACAGAGCAGGGGTGCCATTCCCCAGGATATCTGAGAGCACAGAGCAGGGGTGCCATTCCCCAGGATATCTGAGAGCACAGAGCAGGGGTGCCATTCCCCAGGATATCTGAGAGCACAGAGCAGGGGTGCCATTCCCCAGGATATCTGAGAGCACAGAGCAGGGGTGCCATTCCCCAGGATATCTGAGAGCACAGAGCAGGGGTGCCATTCCCCAGGATATCTGAGAGCACAGAGCAGGGGTGCCATTCCCCAGGATATCTGAGAGCACAGAGCAGGGGTGCCATTCCCCAGGATATCTGAGAGCACAGAGCAGGGGTGCCATTCCCCAGGATATCTGAGAGCACAGAGCAGGGGTGCCATTCCCCAGGATATCTGAGAGCACAGAGCAGGGGTGCCATTCCCCAGGATATCTGAGAGCACAGAGCAGGGGTGCCATTCCCCAGGATATCTGAGAGCACAGAGCAGGGGTGCCATTCCCCAGGATATCTGAGAGCACAGAGCAGGGGTGCCATTCCCCAGGATATCTGAGAGCACAGAGCAGGGGTGCCATTCCCCAGGATATCTGAGAGCACAGAGCAGGGGTGCCATTCCCCAGGATATCTGAGAGCACAGAGCAGGGGTGCCATTCCCCAGGATATCTGAGAGCACAGAGCAGGGGTGCCATTCCCCAGGATATCTGAGAGCACAGAGCAGGGGTGCCATTCCCCAGGATATCTGAGAGCACAGAGCAGGGGTGCCATTCCCCAGGATATCTGAGAGCACAGAGCAGGGGTGCCATTCCCCAGGATATCTGAGAGCACAGAGCAGGGGTGCCATTCCCCAGGATATCTGAGAGCACAGAGCAGGGGTGCCATTCCCCAGGATATCTGAGAGCACAGAGCAGGGGTGACATCCCCAGGATGTTTGGGAGCCCAGAGCACTGCCTGGCTGTCATCCCTGCTGCTGCTGCCTTTGAGCAGAGATGCAGCACTGAGAGTATTTATCATTTTTTGGTTTTACCCAAAGGGAGACACTACACACCAACAGATCTGCTCTGCAGGCTGGGAAACAAGCAAACACCACCAAGTGAGAAAGCTGCACAAAAGCCTTTCCCTTCCCCTGCCTCAGCTCTGGGTGAAGCCCAAAACAGGCAAACACCAGTTCTGCCTCAAAGCCAGAAATGGGCTGCCAAAGTCTGGCTCTGCTCTGTGCTACTCCTCGGCCACGAAGGAGCACCAATTAGGAGGAACACTTCTGCCTCACACCACAGAGACAGCCAATACTGAAGGAATGGCATGGCAAAGGAGTGTGGAAGCACGTAAGAGCAGAGTTCCAGAGCTGCTGTATGAATGACCTGCAAGCACAGCCAGACTCGGTGCTGTGGCTCAGGGCACAGCTGGGGATCCTCCTCTGCTACACAGCAATGCGCAGAGTTCCAGAGCTGCTCTATGACCTGAAAGCACAACATGAACCACCCCTGGGCAAACCCCTCAGCCAGACTCGGTGCTGTGGCTCAGGGCACAGCTGGGGATCCTCCTCTGCTACACAGCAATGCCTTAACTGAGCCATCAGCTGCTGATGGAACTGAGAACAGTTCTGAAAAACTGAGACCTCAACCCTGTGGTTCCCATCTTCATCAGCTGCAGGTGCATTTTAAATCTACAGCTCTCAGTGAAGTTAGGAAATCCTCAGTACCAAATACCCTTTAAACACTAAAGGTACTACAAGTGCACACATTAAAAATTTGTCTAAATTAAATGTTTATGCTGAACTAGTTTAGCAACATTAAATATTCTAAATTTTAAAGTGAATGCAGCTCAGCTTGTCTCTGTAAGTTAAGCTGTATCAAAACAAAGCATGCTAATTCTTAACAAATATACATTAAACTGGTATCTTGCAATAGAGTTAAAAGCCAATTCTCAGCGGATAGTCAATGCCTCTTAGTTGCTATCAAAACTTTATGGCACAGTTATGGAGGCCCATTTCAATCAGCCATATGTAGACCCCTGATACACAGGCAGAAAAGCAGGAATTTACAGTTTCTTGGAAAGAACCAACAGTGATTTTCTCTACTTCAAAACGTGGTAATTTCCCATTGGGGCTGGTCCTTCACTGTGTGTATTTCAGTGGGACATGAACCCAGCTCTGCACACACAATTTGCAGGCCAAGGCCCAGAGTCATATGATCTTTATAATGCTGAGAAAAGTAATGCAATTTAATACTTTTTAAGCTTAGGGATTTATAGCTCCAGAACTATAGGAGAGTATTTCTGCAAGATAATAAACTCCTTTTTCTCCCCCCATTTTAAAACATCTTCATGTATTCATGTCAAAACATCCAGAGATATTTCTTGTGTTAAGAAGGGCTGTGGAACAAAGCTGCTCTCCTCCAGCAGCAGGAAGAAGATTACCTACCTTTTTCCTCATTATTCTGGGACACCATTATCAGCAAGATATTTTATTACAGAAAAAGAAAAAAAAAAAGGAAAAAAAAAAAAAAGAAGATCTTGATTTTATCCCCACTGTCCTGCAGCAGCAGCCAGCAGCCCTGATCAGCAAGTGATGAGTGCCCTTCCGGAGCAGGCAGTAAATGTAAATTTAGCAAAGAGCACTTAGCAAATATAACTACAGGGTCCATGCTCTCAGGATTATCTGATTTTCCCTCGCTGCAGAAAAATCCACATGAAAATGAAATCCTACATTTGTTCTGCAGCTGCATGGCAGGGAAAGGTGCACGGCTGGCAGGTCTGGGATCACCATCCCACAGGTGTGATTCACCTGCCTGTCAGGATGTGCAGTCCCAGAGGAACTGCAGAATCAGGACCAATCAGTCAGAATCCTGAGCCTGGAATCCTGGTGGCTCCCTGCCAGTTCTGCTGTACCCTGTAAGCCAAGTGCTCTTCCCAGGCGTGCAGCCTGAGCCCCAGGCCACGAGCAGGGCTGTGTCCCTCATCCTCCCAGGCCCCGAGGAGCTCAGCTCCATCCCCACCATGTCCTACCCCAGCAGTGGGTGCAATCAGATCCTCCCTGAGCTCCCTGCCCGGCTGAACAAGCAATTTAATTTCTTTCCTTTGGTGTACTTTTCCCTCTCTCCCTTGCTCCAGACTGCCTTTGCCTACAGCACTGTTCTTAAATTAATTACCAAGGAGCTTTGTGCTGCAGAGGAGCAGCGTTTTGGGCCTCCCCTGGGCCTTGTGGCTTTTTCTTCTGCAGCCCGGGAGCGCCAAGGCTCGGCCTGCCAGACCCGTGACTCAGGCTCTTCAGAGACACTCCCACAAGTTTTATACACAGCATTCCCTTTCCTCCCAGCTCTGCTGACAAATGTTTGGATCTGCAGCTCCCCCCGGCCGTGCCTGCCTCGCGGCCCAGCCGGCACGCTAAGGCCACACGCGGCAGGCACGGCTTCCTTACGGTGACACGAGGGCAGCACAGGGCAGCCTTCATGGGAGGGTACCTTCATGGGAGCCAGCTGAATGGGAGTGATGCATGAGGGATCCACCATGGGCTTGGGCCGGTTGGCCGTGTCTGCCAGCAGGCTGTGCCACTGCTGGGGCAGCCCCGTGAACTTCTGCTCCCGGTGGTCGAAGCCAGTGTGGACCCGGTGCTCGAAGTTGGAGGGGCCGGAAATTTCCAGCCTTTTCTTCTTTTTCCCAAACATGGTGGAAAGATCTGCAGAAAACAAAAAGAGCCACACGTTTACACTCTGTTGTATCCCTCAGCCATTGTCCCTACCTCACAGGGAATTTCAGCAGATGTCATCAGCCAGCCCTCCATGAACTTCACACGCTGAGATCTATGCGAGGCGAGCACTTAGCTGACCTCCTTTCTGGGAGAAGATCTTAAGAAATTAACCTGTTCGTGATGCCTTATGAAACAAGGAAATTCCCAGGAAAGCAAGCCCCAGGTCCTGTTTTGTACTCCTCTCTCTGCTCATGCTGCAGGTTGCACCCATGGAAGCCCCAAGCTGAGAGCAAGGCCAGCAGCAGTGGATGGCTTTGCTCCAAGGACAGCCCTTGGTAAGAGGTGAGCTGTGTCCTGGTACAAGGGGGAGCAAATGCAGGCTCAGCTTTGCATCCCAAATCTGCACCCCAGGTCCTGGAGCACAGACAGCCCATCCAGGTGGGAGCCTGGCTCTGCCATGGTCTGGTCTGGGTCTCACACAGCAGCACTCCAAGGGGAATTATTCCTGTGCCATTGCAGCCATGCAAACAGAGAGCTCAGATCTAATTCCAGCCTGGTCCAAGGGCCTTCCTCTGCATTTGTGAAGAGTCCTGATTTAAAAAATCATCAGGTATCAGCTATTACAAACGTCATGGCCTGACTTCTTGAGGAGAGGAATGATTTGCCGTGAGAGCCACATGCCCAAAGCGCCCGGGCTCACCCCCAGAGGGGCAGGGGTCCCTGCTCCTGGCCAGCAGGCTTGGCTGGGATTATCAACCACAGCCCTACTCCTCTGAAGGTCCAGGAAGGAGCATCAGCCCTTTTGGTTCCTGTGCAGGTGGTGTGCAGAAGAGACAGGAGCCCTTCCAATCCTACCCAAGCAAGGAGCTGGAGGCTGCTGGAGGAAATGTGTGTGTGACCTTCCCAGCTTCTCCTTCACTGGATCCACCTGGGCTGGCCTGCTACAGCTAACTGTCACAGCTCCTGTTCACACAGAGTGAATGTTTCAGTCAATTTTAATTGTTATTTCCTGACAAGACTGAGTGGATTTGCTTTCCTCCTGTTTAGGCCTTCCTGAGGAACATGGAGCAGGCAGCAGGAGGGAACACAGATTTATAGATTAGCTGGGGCAAAAGGAGTTCCACTGGCAAGGTGGAAGGAGGCAGGAGCTGCAAAGTGACAGGGATAAAGGTATTTGCTCGTTCTACTGGCACAGGAAATAGCCAATACACTCCCACCTGCATGAACCCTTGGGTTGGTGGGTGCCACCTTAAAATGAAGTGCAGCCTAACAGTTCTATTGAAGCAAGTTCAGAACTGACTTTCTGGAGGACTCCAGAAATCTGCTGTGCAAGGCAGGGATAAAGTCCTGGTCCCAGGGAAACAGACAGGTCCTGTTGCTTCTCAGTGACATACTGTCCTGTCCTGGGAAAGCTCTCTGCCTGCCTTCTGCTGTCTCACAACACTCCTCCCCCTGCTCTCTGGGCCATTTCTCAGGGCTGGCTGAGCACTTCGGCAGCAGCTGTCTGAAATAGCAGCAGGGTGAGGAGGCTGGCACTGCTCTTCCATCCCAGCTGGAAAGGTGCTTCCCTGACTTTATTCAGGAGGTGGAGAGGAGAAGTTCAGAGAAGAAAACATGGTTGTGTTGCTGCTGCAGCTAAGAAAAGATGCAGTGATAAATCAGGTATTTATTCCACCCTCACTGCCTTTCACTAGTTTATCTAAAGATCAAGTCCATTATTTGAAAATTGATTGCTGGCTGCTTTGTAAGTCCCCCCTGTGTATTTGTAGGTGATTGTCTCCTTTGTGCATATTTCTTTTAGTCAGAGCAGACTTGGCCTTTCTTCACAGGTCTCATCTTCCACACATCTCTCTCTGGCTTCCTACCCTACTCTGAACTTCCCAAAATCTCCTGCTCTTTTAACAGTCTCTCTCCAGCTCTGTTAACTTGGGTTATCTTCCTCACCTTCCTCTCCCAAAACCTCCAAAAAAGCACATATCAAAGTGATTGTATTGCAATGTAATCACTTTGATGTGTGCCTTTTTCCCTTTCCCAGCACCATAATTGTTTTATTTCTCTCTGGTGCACGTGGGTACCTTGTGGCACTCTCAGACACACTTCCAAAGCCACGGTGGCTGCTCTGTGCTCAGAGATTATCCATCTCCAGGCTCCAAGAGAAGCAGCCCCAGGCCAGGCAGTGGCTCCACCAGTGGCAGCCAGCTGCAGATCAATGGCACTGCATCGATTTCAGCTGCCCTAGGGACAGCAATCCATGAGACTATTGCAGTAACATTTTAAACCATCAGCTCTGGACATGTATTTCTCCTCTGATCAATGCCAGGGTTTCCCACAGGACTTGCATCCCAAGGCAGCTGCTGGATGCTTGAAGTCCTCCCGAGCTCCAAACAACATCAGATAACTGAAAGCCCATCAGCTGGCACAGTGCACACTGCTGTTTAAAATGAACAGCACTTCCACTCAACACGATACCAGCCAGCAAGTCACCTCCATCTCACTGCAAAGCCAAGGCAACCTCCCCCCAGCACAGTCCCTCCAAAGAGCTGTAACGCACACAGCAGCCACAAGGAAGCTTCATTTCCCCTCATTTCTCCAAAGAATGGAAATGGTGCTGTTTTCCTCAGCTGTCTGAGGATGAGGGTTTGGGGCAGCCAAGTCTGTGAAACCTTATGCTCTGGGCTTGTAAGTGTCCTGATTCAGTCCCCACTGATGTGCTTGGTCCTCATACCTCAAAAAGGGAGAGATTATTCCACTTTCCCATAGCTCTATTGATATGACACAAAAAATAAAGGACTTATTTAATCAGGTGTGGAAGCAGAAAACACCCTGGTAAGTGACTCCACATTCTCCAAGACATCTAAAGCCATTTCAGGAATAACCCAAGTGCTGTGAAGAGGGATGACGGAGCTTTCCAGGATGCTGCATAATGTGTGTAGCAGAAAACTTCTGAAATTTGTATCAAGAGCACAAAATGTAAGAAATTCATTCAGGCACCCACCCATTCACACAGAACAGCAATCCTCTCACAGCTATTAAGAACCCCTAATTTCCCAATGGGATTACTTGGGAAAACATCCCCAGACAGCAGGGCAGCCTTTATGAGAGGCACAGGGAGGAGGGAGGCTGCAGGACAGCTCTGCAGAGCTGCCCCTGAGCCATCCCCACGCCAGAGCACTCACCCTGCTCTTAATTCTCCCTGGCAGCTTCCAACGTGGCCCTGACTGTGCCAGGGCTCTGGGCAAATGCCACCTCTCTGCAGCTCCTCCTGTGCCCACCCCCCAGAGGGAGAGGAAATGAGAGGCACTGCACTTGGAGCGTGCTGCTATTCTGGGGGATGAGCACAAGCAGGAGTCTGTCCTCTCCTGCACTGCCCTGCCAAGGGAAGGTCGGGCTGGTTCCAGGGTGGCACCAGGTGACACTTGACACAAGGGGGCTGGGGGGCTACTGCTGATGGCACTGGGCTTGGCTCCGGGGGAAACAGGACTCACCCTGCAGAGCTTACTGGGGCATTTCTGCAGATTCTTTACTCACTCATGCTGAAATACGCAGCACATTAGTTTGGTGCTGGTAAATGCGAGGTCTGCAGGAGGCAGCCCCTTAGAGCCAGCAAACAATGAGCTCAGACAGCACCACACCTAAGCAGGTGTGCTCTGACATGGCAGAGGCAGGAGCTGAGCCTGGTCAGCTCCAGGCTGCCATTCCAAGGGCTCCTCACCCACAGCCCAGCCGTGGTGCAAGAGTTAGAGATGGCAGAGGTTCTGAACCAAAGCCATGATGGAAAAATACGGATGTGACACTTACTAGAGGAAAATGCAGTCCTGGGGGGAAATCAGACTCTTGCAGCACCTGATGAGGCACTCAGCACCTCTCCTGAGTAACCCACAGCAGGCTGCTCCCACATGTGCCACTGGGGAATGGGGAAGAACAGGGACAGCAGGAGAGGTGTGTGAGCTGTGCTCTGGAGATTGCTGCCCAAACTCTCCTACAGCTGCAGTGTGTGTCTCACTTTGTCCCAGCCCAGCACAGGAGCATGCCAGCTCTGCTGGTGCCTGCTGAGGAGCTGTAACACAGCTCCACGTGGCTGCTGCAGGCACCAGGTAAGGCTCAGAGGGGCTGCCAGAGCCATCACTGCTGCTGCCCTTCGTGCTGTTTACTGTGGTGCCTAACAAATCAAATTACAGCTGATCAGCACGCCCTGCTGCCAGGCCTGTGCCAGACTTGGCTCCTTCACTGCTCTCCTTCCTGTGCACAGAAATAATGCACTGACACCACAGTGCCACGGGCTCCAGGCTGCTCCACATTTCACCCACAGAGGAAATTTCCTGAGCCGATGCCCGTGCAAGGTGTGCGATGTGGACAGCAAGTTATAAATAAATCCACTCTGTCAGGCACTGCAGGCTCACTGTGCTGCCTCCCAGTCCCAGGTGCAGGGTTTTTCCAGGCAGAAGCATCCCCAGTCCCACCCTGGAGCACGAGGGTGGCAGTCCTGTTCTGGGTGCCCATCAGACTCTCCCACGGTGGGCTGTGCTCAGGACAGGATTGCCAAGAGCTTCCCCACAAAAGGCAAGCCCTGCCAGCTCACACTGAGGTCACAGGTTTGTTCACTCTCAAGAGTTTGGCCCCATCCTGGGGGTTCCAAGAGCTGTCCCTCTCCTGTATGTGAGACCAGAACACACTCCAAGACTGATGAACTGAAAAGCCAAAAGTCCAGATTTATGTTACTGCCCTCAAAGAACAAATGTTCACATTTACAGCAAGTTAGACCCAAGGCAGGAGGAATAAAATGAAAAAAGGATTATTTCACTCTAAGGTTACTGGTATTTTGTATCTTTTATCATTCCCTAAGAGTAATTCTGTCAGCCTACAAAATAAGAGAGAAATCTGTTTAACTCTGCCCCATTTTCTGTTCCCAACAGAAAAGTCAGAGCCAATTTTTGCTCCCCCTCCAAATAGCTGCTCTTTTAAAAAAGACTACAAAAGTTGGAAGGACC